AGGGGCCCAAGCACTGGGGCCATCTCCTGCTGCTTTCTCAGGTGCATTAGCAGGGAGCTATATTGAAAGTATAGCAGCCAGGACTTGAACCAGTGTCCAAATGAGATGCCAGTGCTGTAGGCAGCAGTTTAACCACTACACCACAGCACCAGCCCAGGTAATGCTAGTTCTTAAACATGACTGAGAAGTATTTCCTCTCTTTTCTGTTTTCTGGAAAAGCTTATGTAGAATTGATGCTAATTATTCTTTAGACATTTGTAGAAATCTCTAGCAAAACAACCTAGGATTAGAATATCCTTTTTAAAATTTTAAAATTGTGAATTCAACTTCTTAAATAGTTACAGGGTTATTCCAGTTATCTATTTCCTATTTGATAAACTGTGGTAGCTTCTTTTTTTAGAAATTCATCCATTTCACCTAAATTATCAAATTTTTGTGTATAGAGTTGTTTGTATCATCTTGTTATTATCCTTTAGACATCTGCAGGGTCTATATAATCAGTATCATTCTTGATAGAGACATGGGCTAGGCAGGCAGCTAGGTAGGTCTGGTAAGCTGGAGGTGCCTTCAAGCCACAACCCTGCCTATATAATTCCTGTTCCTACTTGTCAATCAAAATGCCTCTTTTCCCAGGATACTTCTGCTTCATTCAGGACCTGGAGGGGAAGACACCATGAAAATATGGATATTGAGCTCCACATAGAACCTGTGGAGCTGCCATATAATTCCCAGGTGACTTCACACCTGAAGGTACCTCCTTCTCCTTTTGGGCAAATCTTTTGGCCCACTGCCCACTCATGATGGGTGTTCCTGTGTGTGAATGTGTGTGTGTGTGTTTTCTCACCTTTTGAATAAAATTTACCTTATATATGTACACACTTAGGATTCTTGTCTTGTGCATGACATTGACTTGGAGTAAAAAATACTTTGCTCACTCACACCAACAGTGGTAATTTGTGTCTTCTTCATTTTTTCCTTGTTATTATTGCTAAAAGTTTGTCTACTTTATTGATGTTCTCAAAGAATATGTTCCCTGTTTCATTGATTTTTCTGTTTTATTCCTTTTTCAAACATTTTATTTTAGAATAGTTTTAAATTTACAAAACAAAAATTACAAGGTGGTAATACCGAGTTCCCATCCGTTTCTCACCAGATTTCCACGCTTAGCATCTCATAGTAGTGTCCTTGTCACAATTAATGAAACACTCAGCTGTCCCTATTTTATTTTAATCCAAACTCATTTTATCACTCCCACCCCTTCGATTTTTTTTCTGTTTTAAATTTCATTTCTTTTCTTTATTCTTTTTCTTCCTTCAGATTGCTTTGTTACTTTGCTCTTCTTTTTCCTGATTTTTGAGTTGAGAACTTTGATTAATGACAGAGATTTCTTCCCTCCCTAAGCTATGTGTTTAGTGTTAGGAAGTTCCTCCTAGCATTACTTTAGCTCTGACTCACAAATTTGGATGCACTGCATCTTCATTTCCTTTCACAGGCAGTCAGCACAAGCCAGGAATGGGCCCAATTAACCTGCCTCTTGCACTTACCGTAGAAATGTTTTTAACTGCTGACTTCTCTCATCTCCTGCTTTCAGGATGTTCAGAGGAGTGTGCTTTAAAAACAAAAGAAAAGGCTCACTGGGCTAATCCTCCGCCTTGCGGCGCCGGCACACCGGGTTCTAGTCCCAGTCGGGCGCCGGATTCTGTCCCGGTTGCTCCTCTTCCAGGCCAGCTCTCTGCTGTGGCCCAGGAGTGCAGTGGAGAATGGCCCAAGTGCTTGGGCCCTGCACCCCATGGGAGACCAGGATAAGTACCTGGCTCCTGCCATCGGATCAGCGTGGTGCGCTGGCCGCAGCGGGCTGGCTGCGGCGGCCATTGGAGGGTGAACCAACGGCAAAGGGAAGACCTTTCTCTCTGTCTCTCTCTCTCACTGTCCACTCTGCCTGTCAAAAAAAAAAAAAAAAAAAGAAACATAGCCTGCCTGCCACTCCCCAAGAAAAATTACCATGGGTGAATTACAGAGTTAACTCTCTAAAGAGCAGTTTGTTGCCATTGTAAAGGAATTCCAAGCTCCTCCTGGGACAGGCCAATTGAATAAAAAAATCATTAAGAATTCCTAGAAAATACTGGAACAGGAAAAAAATAAGATAGATCTTTTGTTATCGTCCTATAGATTCCTGAGGCTATTTTTTTTTTTTTTTTTTAGCTATTTTATTTCAGATGTTCAGATTATTCTTTAAAAGTTGGTAGAGGGGCCGACGCTGTGGCACAGCAGGTTAAAGCCCTGGCCTGAAGTGCCGGCATCCCATATGAGCACGGGTTCTAGTCCTGGCTGCTCCTCTTCCAATTCAGCTCTCTGCTATGTCCTGGGAAAGCGGTAGAAGATGGCCCAAGTCCCTGGGCCCTGCACCTATGTGGGAGACCCGGAAGAAGCAGCTCTTGGCTCCTGGCTTCAGATCATCACAGCTCTGGCCGTTGCAGCCAACTGGGGAATCAACTAGCTGACGGAAGACCTCTCTTTCTGTCTCTACCTCTCTCTGTAACTCTGTCTTTCAAGTAAATAAAACAAATCTTTAAAAAAATGTTGGTAGAAATGTTCCATGAAATTTTATAAAGCCGAAAGACTTCTTTTTGGAGAATGTTTGATTTATAAATGCAATTTCCTTAATAGTAATGGGGCTATTCAAATCTATTTCTTATTGATATTTACTATAATTTTATTTTCAAGTTAATTGACTTATGGTTTCTTTCTGCTGAATTAATCCATTGAGTTTTAAATTGTGATCATTGTATTTTTCAAGTCTAAAATTCTATTTAGTTGTTCTTCATATCTTTTATTTATTTGCTGAGACATTCCATTGTGTGTGTGTGTTTATTTTATTTGAAAGATAGAGAGATTGAGAGAGATCTCCAAGCCCTGGTTTGTACTCCAAAAGCCTATAACAACAGGGTTGCCACTAGTCTGAAGCCAGGAGCCTAGAACTCAATCCAGGTCTCCCATATGGGTGGCTGGAACCCAAGTACTTAAGCCATTATCTACTGCCCCCTAGGATGCACATTATCAGGAAGCTAGATTAGAAGCAGAGGATCTGGGATTCAAACAAGTACTCTAGGGAGGGATACAGGCATCCCAAGTGGTATCTTAACTGCTGTGCCAAACACCCACCCGTGTTTTTTTCTCTCTATTTGTCTCAAGGATATTTGCTTCAGGGAAGCATTTTTGTCATGGCTACTTGAAAATCCTTGTCTGATAATTCTGTATCTCTGTTATCTTGGTGTTGGTATCTATTGAGTCTGTTGCTTCATTCATTTTGAGAACTTCTTGTTTCTTGGTATAAGTAATTTTCCTATTGAAACCTGGACAGGTTGGGTATTATAGACTCCTGATCTTATTTAAACCTTCTATTTTGACACTGCTGTGATCGGGAAGTAAAGGGGGGTGTCATCTCATTATTGTGAGATGGGATTGGAAGTCCAGATGTCCTGGCTGGTTTCCATTAACATCTGGGAGACAAGACTCTTCATTACAACTGGGTAGGGGTGAAAGTCCTCTTAACGTGGCTCTGACAATGATGGAGCAAGAACAAAATTTTAGATTGATTCCAGTTTCCTGCCTACGTGACCCTAGACCCTGCTCCATGAGGACACTTAACCCTGTCATCCTCCTCAACCAGTTCAACCCCACACCCTGCATTCCTGAGGCTCCTCCCTTGTTATCCCCGCCAGCCAGCTCAGTCAGCTTATGTGGCTGAGGAATCCCCACAGAGATGCTGTCCAGCTGTCTTCCTCAAACACCAGCATACAGGACTGACACAGACTTCCGCTTCGGCCTCACTGAGATATTCTGCTCCCATCATTTTCCTCAAATACCTTCAACTCACCCTCTCCTGCATCCCACTTTTCCCTTCACCAAGCTCAACTTGACCTCCAGAGAAAAAAGCCTGCACAAGCCAGCTCAGCAATGCCCTCCCTGTCAAGATATCAAGGTGTTCAGCTAGTTTATGCCATATAAACGTAGCCCAAAACTGAAGTCTTGTTTTCTGTCACGTGTTCACCTTATGCACCCACCGGCAGTGAGCCCCTCTCAGGCTTATCTTCCCTTTTGAATAAACCTGCTCCGTCTGTAAATTTGTCTCTTGCCTCCTCCCTGTTCTGCTCTTATTTTCTTTTAGACAATACCCCACAGGTAGGGGGTGGGAGCTCATTACCACCTGGTGAAGGTAAAGACTCAGGCTCTTTACTTGGTCTTTGCTGGGATGGGGAAGGCTGGAGCCACAGTTGCTTGGTGTTTGGCTGCAGTAGAGCCATTGTTTTCTCAACAGTTTTGTCACGCTAGGATATTCCTCTCTTGCTACTTTGGTTAGAGAATGTGGGCTTCTGCTGTCTGTGCCTGTTGATTTTTCTGGGTTGCCAGCGTCTGTTCTGCTCCAACTCTGGGGTAGATGGCACAAAAAGACAGCTCACCACCATGCTATTCACTGGGTCTCGAGACTGATTTTCTTTCCATTTTCCGGAGTCTTTTTATGTTTACTTTGTACATGATCCCCAGGCTTTTAGTTGCATTTAGCAGAAGAATGGGAGTGGGCGAGAAGGGGGAGGACGTCTACACATCTTCCCAGAAGCAGATTCTTTGTCACTTGACGGGAAACAGTAACATGTTCCCAGCATCCATTGCTACCAAAATTACTTGCTCTTTCCAAAGTCCTGTTTCAACTACTTGGCATGTCTACTTTGGTCATTCATTCGAAGACACTGGAAACAAACTCAAACCAAGTGACTTCATTGTAAGAGGTGATGTAAAAAATTCTGAAGTGTTGTGCTCAACACCCTTATTTAAAGAAATACAGAGGTGCCTGCCCAAAGCCACAGGCAGGGAATTCCTTGTCCCTGCAGGATAAAAGGGACCAGCAGATGTGATTTTATCTCTAGAAGGATCGAGCAGAGCCTTCTGGACTCAAAAAAAAAAAAAAAAAAAAAAAAAAAAAAAAAAAAAAAAAATCTCACCTTCGCTGTCACAGCACTCTAAGATGGAAGGGTCTTCTCGAATCACTGCAGTCAGAGCGTTGACATCTCCGTGTGACGCTGCCTGATAAACCATGGTCAGGTCAACCTCCTCGGATGAGTCACCTTTAGGAAGCAAACAGACACGCTGTGAGTGTGTGAGCGAGTTCACATGAACAACACCACCCAAATCATCATCACCCACACAAGTGATTCACTGAAACCTCTCTAGGGAATCCAGGCAGATGGCTGAGTCATCCCAATGACACGCACCCTCACCACTTCTGAAGCCAGGTAGACCACCACAGGCCATTTGCAATACCGCTGTGCGCTGGGTGGGAGCTCAGGGGAGTCTGTCCTTTGAGGTTTTATGACTCTCTCCAGGAATTCAGGCTTCTTTTGCAATCAGTGAGGTCAGAGTTGGAAGGGGAGGGGGGCTAGTCTTGGTTCTGAGTCCTCTGCTCCCTTTTTAAAATGCTTATTTTCACTGTACATAAAATGCAGAGATAGATAGCTAGATAGCTACATAGAGATAGAGATAGAGAGAGAGAGAGAGAGAGAGAGAGAGACCCAGAGATATATCTTCCATCTACTTGTTCATTTCCCAAATGCCCACAACAGCACGGGGCTGGGTCAGGCTCAAGAGAAAAGTCCAGAACCCAATCTGGGCCTCCCGTGTAGCCCAAGTTCTAGAGCTACCATATGCTGCCTCCCAGGGTGCACATCAGAAGAGAACTGGAATCGGAAGCAGTGTCAGAAGCCTGATTAAGCACTCCAGCGTGGGATACGGGACTCCCAAGCAGTCCCCTATCCACTAAGCCAAGAGCTTGGCCTGAGTTTCCCATTTGAACCACAAATGTGAAACTTTCCCTTTCAGTTACTTGGCTCAGCCACCAGCATTCACCACCCTTCCCTCCAGCTCTGTCCTGAGGGTTGACCTCGGCTGACAGCATTTGCAGGCTCCCTCGCCCTAGCATTTTTTCCCAGGAGGCGCTAGGAGGGGAGAAGAGAGATGGGCACGTTTTCCCTGCCCTCCCTGGTGCAGCTTCTAGCAGGAGGCTGTTCTTCTGCAGAGCCAGCTTCCCCAGGGCTCCCCAGAACTGACCCCTCCTGTTCTTGCGCTGCAGGGGGCAGGGGCGATGCCCACTCCCTAGTGATTCTAATCCCCCTTGTTCTTTGAATCCTGCCTCATCTCTGAAAGCCCCACCTGGGGTTTCCTGAGAGGGGATTTCATTTCCAGAAACACAGCTGCGTGCAGCTCCTCTGAATTCCACCTGTAGCGCGCCTTTGTGTGTGATCCAACCAAGCAATAGTACTGCCAAGGCTGACAAAGGACCTGCGGTCAAGTGACTCCAGGGGAGCAGAGGAAGGGCTGGGAGGCAGATTCTGCCAGTGCAGAGACCCCTGGTGAGACACCTGCTGAGCTCCTCTCACCAGGCATATCTCCCCACCCGCTCTGCCTCAAGTATAGTCATGGTTTAGGGCAAAAATAAATGCATAAGAAAAGCTTATTTTTTAAAAAGATTTATTTTATTTATTTGGAAGGTAGAGTTACAGAGAGAGGAAGAGCGAGAGAAATTTTCCATCCACTGGTTTACTCCTCCAAATGGCCACATCACCCAGGGTTGGGCCAGATTGAAGCCAGGAGCCAGGAACTTCCTCTCTCCCATGTAGGTGCAGGGGCCCAAGTACTTGGGTCATCTTCTGCTGCTTTGACAGGTGCATTAGCAGGGAACTGGGTCAGAAGTGGAGCACCTGGGACTCAAACCTGCCCCATATAGGAAGGCAGCATCACAGGTGTTGGCTTTACCTGCTATGCTACAACACCAGCCCTGAAGTTTCTTAAAGCTGCATTTTTCTACTAATGTGGATGTTATCCAGGGATACTTCTCAGTTCTGATTCGTGTTTAGTGGACCAACCCGTTGGCTTGGTTTTTCTGTCCCAGCATTTCTATGCTGTCATTAATGACTTGAAACCAGTTGATATCACAGGAGAAATTTGGTTTTCACTATGAGTCACGTGACAGTAGACTGTTTCGTAAAGTGAGTGGCTGATCCCTAATTTATCCACGGTAGTTTTTGGTTTGTTTTAAGCAGTCTTGTCTGCACATTTGCTGGAGAGCTGGAATTGAGAGGTGAGGAATATCAAAGTCCAATGCCATTTCTGTGTTAGGTGCAAGGCTTTTGGAGAGAGATTACTAGGATGTACACACTGCTTATTCTAAATTTGGGTCATTTCCCTCTTTGGGTTTAATTTCTTTGCCTTTAAATGGAAATGGTGATGATGATGATGGTAATGATGGTAATAATTGCAACAGCCACCTGTCTCACAAATTTCTTGTGTGGAAAAATTGAGTTAATGTCTAATTCTATGAGATTTTAGAACAGTGTCTAATGTAAACATTGTATATAGTTTGCTACTGTTATGGCTACTCTGGTTACTACTTTATATATATATAAATATATATTTAGATATATATTTAGATCTAATATAATACATTAATATAATATTATATTAGATATAAATATCTAATTATATATAATATAAATATCTAATATTATATAATATAATAATATTAAAATATAATATATTATATATAATAATATTTTATAATATTATATATAATATATTGATATAACATATCTAATATATCTAATATATTTATATATATTTAAAGAGTATTCTAAATCTGGGACACAGAGAAAATGTCTCTTAGTGATAGCTAGAAAAAGAAATGATATGTAGAGTAGGACACTGTCTACTCAAGACCCTCCCAAGGAGTCTACACCGTAAGTTTGATTTGCTCAGTCTATCGTTGGGCACAAGAAGTAGAGCTCAGACTTAAGGACAAAGGTGGGGCTGGATCCAAACGTGCTGTTGGTATCATCTGGGAAGGAGATCCTGGGGGCGGGGCCGTGTGTTGACAGCCCTGTGGAACACATACATGTGTACTTACAATCTCTTCATCACTGAATGCAATAAGGTATGTAAGCACGTGCACCACGCTGTGGAACAGCGAAACAATGAGTGCACCATCTTGTAGATTTGGGATCCCTAAGATACGCTGCCAGAAAAATCCCAATAAGATCATATGTAGCAAGGACAAACACAAGGCACCATATCTTAGTCCGCAGAATACCCAGTTGAACTAGCTGAAGAGTGGTTGAAGCTGTTGTTTTTGTTGTTCAGTCTCCCCTCACCCTGCTGGTACCCTTAACCTGATTAGTCTCTGGGGAACACGTTCTCTCCACATTCAGCCCACGTGCTGACTCCATGGAATTAACTCATCTTAGGGCAGAACATGCGGCCTAAAAGTGAGCTCTCAGCACTACATTATCCTGGCCACAGAGACCGAATTCAGAGATGTGACACAAGAAAAGCACATGAGAGCAATGATCCATTGACTGGGATGGTTGGGAACAATACCCATGAACCTGGGTGACATCTTATGGGTGGACGGCTGTCTAAGAAGGATGAAGACAACACAAGGAGGACAGGAGAAGAACAGAGCTGCTAGGTCAAGAGAAGGAAAGAGCAGTAGCTGAGACCCGAGAGCATGACTTGAAGCCTACATCAAGCTGCTCATTAATGCATTCCTTTTTTGGCTAAGTCAACTTGCATAGATGTTGCGTGTTTGTTGATTTTGACTTTCTTTAATTACTGAATGAGTTCCAACTGACAAAAGGCTTTAGCGGTAGCACTTTAGAATGTGCCAGTTGAGCAGTCAGCTCTATAAAAAGTAGCAGTGGTTTAATAAACTAGTAAGGACACTGGTTGTATTGTTGATAGTCTGGTACCCATATTGAGGGGGGTGATGGGTCTTTTCCATTGTTAACTGGTCAGTCCTGTTGAGGCCCACAGCCTGTGGATTGAACAGAGAAACAGAGTCTGGAATGGCCAGAATGAGGTCTGCAGGGACTTAATTCATGTCACACAAAAATATTTGAAGGAAATAGATATGTTTAATCCAGAGATTACTCCTCCACAGTATCCTGATAGGAGGCTGCCCATGTTTGAAGAACTTTTTTTAAATTAAAAATAGTAAAATATATATAACACAAAATGTATCATTATAACCAAAGTGATCAGTTTAGTGACATATATATATACTCATCGTTAACAATGCAATCATCATTGTCCATCTCCAGAACTGTTTTCATCTTACCAAACTCGACACCCAAGTTTTAGTAACTCCCCATTCTCCCCTGCTCAAGCTCCTGGAAACCACCATCAAACTTTGTCTCTCTGAATCTGGCTACTCTAGGTACCTCAGAAACATGAAATCAACCATATTTGTCCTTTTGTGACTGGCTTATATAATTCAGCTTATTGCCCATAAGGCTCATCCATGTTGTAAAGTATATCAGAAGCTCCTTCCATTTTAACGACTATATAGTGTTCCGTTGTATGGTTCCATCACATCTTGTTTAGTCACTCATCTGTCATGGGCACTTGGTTTGCTTCCACCTTTTGGCAATTGTGAATATTACTGTCACAAACACAAGTATATACATCTCTTTGAGACCCTTCTTTCAATGCTGTTGGGTATACCTTCAAATGTAGACTTGCTGGATCATGTCATAATCCGATTTAAAAAGTCTTAGGAATTGCCAATACTCTTTTCCATGGTTGCCGTACCATTTTCTATTCCCACTAACCGTGCACAAGGGTTACAATTTCTATACATCTTTGCCAACACTTATTCATTTTTAAAAATTTTTACTTGTTTATGTGAAAGGTAGAGAGACAGAACGATAGGGGGAAAGTGTCGCTCCCCCTCTTCGTGGAGGAGCAACACAGGACCCTGCGCTGTTCTTTCGTCTGCTCGGCCCTCCCCGGGTTTGCTGCTGGTTCTTCCCGGGTTGGCTACTATCCCTTCCACCTCCGTGGAAGGGCAGTTCCCCCTGGCCGCATTCCCCACTTCCGCAGGGGAGCGGCACACCGCCGGCCGGTTCTCTCGGGGGCTGCACGGGTGTTCCTTCAGCTAGATGTTCCCCATAGATGTTCCTGGTGCATGCCGTCTCTCTCCTCCTTTATAGTCCTCCTCCGCCAATCCTAACTCGGCTGCCCACACGCCGAGTACGCTGCTCTCCAATCAGGAGCAAGTCCTACAATTTATTAGTTG